GAATAGCGGAAAGTGGGATCCGCACACAGCCTTTCGCGATAAGTGTATGTGTCGCGTGCGGCATGTGAACGAGCTGGGGAGGAATAGCGGAAAGTGGGATCCGCACACAGCCTTTCGCGATAAGTGTATGTGTCGCGTGCGGCATGTGAACGAGCTGGGCAGGAATAGCGGAAAGTGGGATCCGCACACAGCCTTTCGCGATAGCTCATGGTGTTTGCGGGGTTTAATAAAAACCGAGGGTTGCGGCACTATTGATCATGAGTCGATTTTGACTTGTTTTCCCGCCTACTACAGTATTATAGCCAGCACATCCTGTCTTGAAATCGCTTTTCCTCCATACGATCCCAAAGGTTTTTGTATTTTTGAGACGCTTTTCAGAGTTTAGACATTTCGACATTGAATGTATAGACATTTCGACATTGAATGCTTGCGTATCTCGTAACCATCCTTTCTTGACAGATTCGAACAGTTTAATTCTTTAGTAAATGTATGGTCCCAATCAGAAATAACTTCTGAAAGCATCTGCATTTCTCTTGTTTTCTTGTGTGAGCAGCGGAGTTTGAATTGGGTTGCACAAAATGCACAAAGGGTGTGTGACATGATTTTTCTTTCTGGTGGTGGCCATTGCGAGCCGAACTCAAAAGGGCGGTAATTTATTCGAAAGAGAGGTTGAATGTTGACAGAATCGCTATGAGAAGGGTGATTACATGAGATTGAGGAGCTTGTGGTAGGCAACTTTCCGTTGCTTTGGAGTTCGCACACTTTTGTACGTTGTTGCTGGGTATGTGTCAGAGTTGCATGAATCTCCAAGGTCGTGGGAAACACCCTTTCAAACGGGAGAAAATGGGTTGAAATTCCGACACACTGATGTCAGTTTCCTACAAATCAAATGCTTGCAACGTCTTTTGTTAACTAGTGAGGGAAGACAAGACTCGCTCATGGGATGTGAGAAAGCGCTGCAGTGGTTGTGCACTGTGGAATGGTCTTCGGACGTCCAGACTGAGACTGAGACTGGGGGCAGACCGGGGACATGTCGACTCGTCGAGTGAACTCCTGACTAGTGACTTTGTCCACATTTGAATCAGCAACAACCAAGTTCAACAATAGCTTTGCATTTGCATGTATCGTGTTCCGAACTGCTGACCTCCATCCACTGAGTGAACTCCCTAGAAAAGAAGAAAAACGCAGGTGGATTTCCTTTTGTGTTTTCAGTTGATGGGTCATGTGAAGCAAGCGAAAAGGGCGCAAACCGGCACGGGACGGGACATAACAAGAATCGAAGTGCACACGTTTGCAAATCTTTTTTTTTATTCGGCGGGTTACAAAATTTACAAACTCCGACCGCGCGTGCTCACTCACTTGTGGGTGCGAGACGGCATGGGAGATAAAAGAGTTGCGAAATTTCCAAACTCCGACAGTGCGACTTTGCCTCTGGTTCCTCTGCCATGCGAGATAAAGAGTTGCTTTGCTTATCTTTAGATGAGATGGGATGAGATGGGATCGTGCATGGCAAACCAACAATCAATCCAGCATGGCAACATAGCAACGCGCTTCTCTCGCTTCGCTTCAATAGGGGTTTTGAAGAGATTTGATCGATAAACACGGAGAAAGAAAGAATTTTCATGTTTACAATTTGGATTTCAATTTCCAAGGGGAAGAAGAAGAAGAAGGCACATGAGGTGATCACCTGAACACATATGGTTACTTACAGGTTACACAGGATCCAGGGACAATTTGGAGTGGCTTTGAAATTTATCGCTCTTGGAATCGTCCAATCATCAAGCGGAGAAAACTCGTCCATCATCTTTTTTCACGTGCCAAGGCCTGCTGTGACCTGCTGGATCTGTCACGTTACCAGCCTCACCTCGTGTTGCCCCGCTCACTCGCTCGAAGATCGCCGCCTTGCTGATTGTTGACTAAAGAGTGACAACCTTCCTCCTCCCCTCCTCCTCCCTCCTCC